ATAGATAGATAGATAGATAGATAGATAGATAGATAGATAGATAGATAGATAGATAGATAGATAGATTGGTGGGTGGATGGGTGGGTGGGTGGATGGATAGATGGATAGATGAAATTCTCAAAGAATTATTAAATTGTTTTAAAACCTCCTACAAGATTTAGGCAAGTGATATAAATGAATGAGCAGTATGAAGATGCAGCAGACTGCAGACCCAAGGCTAAATCTAAGCTGAGCAGTTGTTCTCAGCTCCATCAAGAATACAATTTAAAATACTTAATGAGGCAGAAATTAATCGATATAATTTGTAAATTATTGTTAAAGCCCTTGGTAGCTATATTGGAGAGAGCAAGCAAATAAGTATTGCTCAGGTTCTCCTATGAAAATCAAGAACTATCCTGTTTATATCAAGTCAGTTCATTTGAGTTATTCAAATTGCACCTCGCAGTCCACCTTTGGTGAGACACAGCCATCAGAGTCTAACATACCTTTTCATCACCCGACACAGTGATAGCGCCATTGTATAGTGCCTCTTCTGTGCCATTTCTGGTTCCCAGGACGTCTATATCTACTGCTATGCTCTGCTGTCTAAGTGAATGGACAAAGTTATCGATGCTGGAACCTACCAGGAAGGCAAAATCAAAGGAAGCAAAGATGAGTCAGGTAACAAAGAAAGCAACAACAACAAAAAAATGAAACAACATGACTCAAAGCATGTCATTACTGCTTACAGATGTCCTTAGTAGGCTGAGTTAGAATTGAGTGCAAAAATCCATTATTTAAATGAGGTATATAATAAAGATCCTCTACATACAGCCTAAAATGTATCAATATTTCTGATATTGTCTAATGTCTAGGAGTGTAACTCAGTAGTAGATCACTTCCTAGAATGCATGAGACTCCAGGTTCAGTGCCCAGCACCACAAATTAACAATGAAAAACAAAACCACAATTAGTCAATCAGTAGTGTGATCTTTGATGCTATGAGTTTTGTTTTTCTTATGAATTTGGAGCATTTTGTTCACAGCGCCCAGCAACATAGGAAATTACAAAATGATACAAGAAGATCTCAAAGACCAGTAAGTGATTTGGTTTTCTAAGGCCTCTTTAATTGTTTTGGCAAAAGCTTTAGAGGTCAAGTAAACTTCAAAAAAAATTATTTTTCAAACAAACTAAATTGTGGTTTTTACTTTTTAATTAGTTTTTCTGTTTGGCCTTATACAATTTTTACTGATTTTTATTGAGCTCTATATTTTTTCTCTGTTCCCCTCCCTGCCTCTCTCCCTCTCCCTTCAATCCTCCCCCAAGGTCCCCATGCTTCCAATTTACTCAGAAGGTCTTATCTTTTTCCACTTCCTATGTATATTTAGATCTATGTAAGTCTTTCTTAGTGTCCTCATTGTTGTCTAAGTTCTCTGGGATTGTGGTTTGTAGGCGGGTTTTCTTTGCCTTATGTTTAAAGACCACTTATGAGTGAGTACATGTGATAATTGTCTTTCTGTGTCTGGGTTACCTCACTCAAAATAATGTTTTCTAGCTCTATCCATTTTCCTGCAAAATTCAAGATGTTTTTTTCTGCTGTGTAGTACTCCATTGTGTAAATGTACATTTTCCTTATCCATTCTTCAGTCGAGGGGCATTTATGTTGTTTCCAGGTTCTGGCTGCCATGAACATAGTTGATCCCATGTCCTTGTGACACAATTGAGTATCCTTTGGATATATACCCAAAAGTGGTATTACTGGGTCTTGAGAAGGTTGTTTCTTAATTTTCTGAGAAATCACCACACTGACAGCCAAAGGGGCTGTACCAGCTTGCATTCCCACCAGCAAATGTCTTTTAATACACAGAAACAATTCTTTTCCTTATGTTTTATGGTTTGCAGGTAATCTGCCAATGAAGAAAAACTGTGTTTGGATGTTATGACTTACCTGTTTTATTGATGACCAGTAAGTGGGTCAGAGGATCCTGTGGGGGCTGTCCTGGTGCAAGGAAATACATACTTGGAGACAGGCCCCATGAGTAATTCTCATGTTGTAGCTCATAGATGAGGTGTTCCAAAACTTGGGGAAGAAAGCTAATGCCAAAAAGCAGTAGCCTATGTGAAAGAAAGTAAATATTAAATAGCAAGAATTAATAATCTGTAGCAACTTTTGGGGAGCTCTAGGTTTTAGTAGATAATGGATAGTGATAAAACATGGGCATGGGCACATTCAAATCTTGCTGCTTCCTCCTCCTTCTTTCTAAAATGAAATGGCCCAGCTTTGACCTTTCTCCGAGTACCTACTCCTGCTTTTGACATTTTCTTTGGGCCTTCCAACTCTATTTGATTTGTTTTAGACATATCCTGGTGTAGTTCAGAAGGGCCTTGAATTTGTTATGTAACTGAGAATGTTCTAGAATTTCTGATTCTCCTACTTCCACTTCTTGAGTACTGAGATTACAGGCATACTAAAATCTCATGTGAGACCTGATGTTCTGAAATTAATGGAAGAAAAAAGCAGTGGGGACAAATGTCCAGCTCTGTCAACTTGTCTAATAACTCGGGTCTGGGGAGATAGAAAGCCCACGTGGAAAGCATATTCCTGTTGGTTAATTAAACTGGCATAGCAGGAAACTGCCTTCTAAGTAATGATTTATACCTGGAGACAAAGGCAGCTCTCAGCCTAATCAGAGAAGACCCTTCTCACAATGAGCAATGGTGACTGGAGAGACTCATGGCTGCCTAAGATGCAGAAAATAAGCAGAGGATGGGAACGTAGCCCCAAACAAGTCACTGAGAGCACCCCCTCTAACACTCAGGAAGCATTGCAGAGGGAGTGGAAGTATGCGAGAGCCAGGAGATAGGGTGAACCTGTATGAAACTTGGGGTACTGGGGTATGTCCTTAAATGGAACGGTGGGAATTCAGGGATACCCTGATCTTGGATAGGAACCTACTTGACTGGGAAGCAGTACAGATTTCCTCTTTATAAGTGCCTCATCTTGGGCATTCCATTACAGCAATAGAAAGATAATAAAACGGCTTACGTCTGATTTATTTTAATGTGTGTGCAAACACTAAACAACAGGACTACGTGGAGGAGTGCTTGCAGATATTTGAGTAAAGAAGGCTCCTGAGAGTAGAGGCTGGTTGATGCCAGGAAGCAGCACTTACCAATTAGGTGGAAGTTGCAGGGGTTTGGCCTTTACAACAGGTACTAGATGCCATTGAGAAGTTAAAAGAGTGGCACAGAGTCTCAGTGCCCAACCTGTTGGCAGGAACGCCAACAGTAATGGACTTTTCGGGCTGCTGATTTCTCCTATGAATTTCAGTTTATCTATCTATCTATTTATCTATCTATCTATCTATCTATCTATCCATCCATCTATCATCTATCTGTCTATCTATCTATCTATCTATCTATCTATCTATCTATCTATCTATCTATCTATCTACATACCTACCTATCTACCTACCTACCTATCTGTATATTTATTCATCTGAATATCATCTCCCTCTCTCCCTCTGTGTATCTCCCTACTCATACTATGAAAAATTCTAAGAGATTTTTGTGTCTGGGGAAAGCAGAGAATGAGGTCTTTGGTAAGGACAAAAATCTGCGTGCAAACACTATCATCCTAAACTTTACTTATTTTTATTACATATCCACAAGGGCAAGTGTTTTAGATGAAACATTTAGAAGACTACGTGCAATTGTTGGCGTTTATTTTATCTACTTTTTGCACTGTGCTCTCAACCCACGGGAGACTCACACGGTCATCAGGCTTTTCCTTTCTTTCTTGAGCTTGAGGAAGCGAACCTTGGCGACTGCGCAGAGCTGCTGCCTCCACAGCGCCATGCCGCTCTTCATGTCCCCCGATGAATCGAGGGAGGACACGGCTTGCTCCAGCTCAGCAAGGTTTCCCATGGCTTCTGTCCCTTCGCTATCTAAGCGCCTACTGGTTCCAGTATCTGAAACGTAAGATCAAACATTTGGAAGATGCCAGTTTATTTATGCTTTGCTTAACCTTCCCCACAACCATTTGCTCAACAGGAAGTTTCAGCATTAATGTTGGGAGCAAATATGCAATCGAATTCATGACTATATTAAAGCAAATATTGAGGAAATGGGAGAGAAACAAAATAATTTGAGGCAATAAAATATTGCATTTTTTAAAAAGGTACATGCAGCTTTCTAAGACATATTCTGGGAAATCCATGAAAGTAAACCCATGCAAAAGTGTTCTTGTCTTGTTACACTCTTGTGTTACTTTGTTACACTCTTGTTACCACCTTGGTATTTCTGGCTAAAATAACAAAGCTAATACATACAAAAGCCTCTCCTCCCTTCAAGAACACAAAGATGGTAGATATGATAGTTTTGATACAGCCACAAAATAAAAACCTAGATAAAACTTGGCTTCTTTTTATTAGAAACCTGGGGAAAAAATGAAACTTCTAGAAAAGTATAAAATGTATACAAGCTAAGTATGGGTAAAAGACAGTAGCACAGCTCTTGCCTAGCATGATATTGAAAAATAAAAGTGTATGGCTGAGTGTACGAGTACCTTTCTTTCTCCCCAGCACTTGGTAGGCAGAGTCAAGTAGATCTTGTGAGTTCAAAGCCAGCTTGAGCTACATAGCAAGCTCCAAGCAGTCAGAGCTTCTCAGTGAAAACGTCTCAAAATTGAATGAATTCATTTTCAGCATAATTTCTAATTTTCCATCCCCACAGACTTTTATATTCAAATAATATGGCAACTCATATTTATTGTCTATTCTATGAAGACATAGTGTGGTATCTCTTCTCTACTTTTTCCTGAGGCTAGTACCAACAAAGCTCCCTTCCTTTCTCCATCTTCTCCCCGTCTCTTACCTGATTCATCAGTCATTGACTTCCCTTCTAATTTCAGGAACACCTCATTCAGAGTTGTCATGGAAACACCGTAATTCTCAATGCCTTGGTTAGAACACCTATCAAGATCCCTGTAAAGGTCTAAAAGTAGACACAAAGTAGATTACAGTATAAATTATAAATGAAGCAGTTAATACTTTCAAAGCGAGAAAATATTGATAATAATCTATGCAGACTTTTATCATAAACATATCAATGTTCACTTAATTTATAAAACACAACTATAGAATATACTAGTTTTCGTGGTTCCTTCAGCATCAAAGTATAGCGTAAACCTTACGCTTCCATACTTAGAAAACTACTCAGGTTTTCAAAAGTTGATGTGTTTAAAACTTTTTAATTCCAGAGTCTGAAGAGATGATTGAGTGGCTAAGAGTACATGCTGCTCTTGCAGAGGCCCCAGATTCTGTTCCCAGCACCCACATGACACCTCACAGACACCTGCAGCCCCAGGTCTGGAGGATCTGATGCCCTCTTCTGACTTCCAGGGACATCATGTGTGCACATGGTGCACAGGTGTATCTTAGATGTGTGTGTGTGTGTGTGTGTGTGTGTGTGTGTGACCATGAATTCCAGAGGAGGTCTCCTATAGCTGCAGCTATAGATAGTTGTGAACTGCCTGATATGGGTGCTGGGAAGTGAACTTGGAACCCCTGGAAGATAACAAGCACTCTTAACTACTGAGCCATCTCTCCAACCCCTTTCATCCTATTTTAAATTTTCTTACGGGGTGGGGGGTAATTCTAAGCTATGATTAAAGATGAGTATCTGGAGAACAGAAAGTTATTATTTTAGGTTAAGATTAGTTAAGAAACTATAATAACTGTCTTAGTTAGAGTTTCTATTGCTGTAAAGAGACACCAAGCTCACAGCAACTCTTATTAAGGGAAAAAAATTAATTGGGGTGGCTTATATTTTTCAGATGTTTAGTCCATTGTCATTATGGGGTGACATGGTGGCATGCAGGCAGGCATGGTGCTAGAGAAGTAGCTGAGTTTCCTACATCTTGTCTTGCAGACAACAGAAAGTGGTCTCCGACACTGGACATTGCCTGAGCATATATGAGACCTCAAAGCCACAATGACACACTTCCTCCAACAGGGCCACACCTACTCTGACAAAGCCACACCTGCCAGTAGTGCCACTCCCTTTGGTGGCCATTTTCTCTCCAATCGTCACAGTAATGAATGTGAAAGCGCTGATACTTACAGAGATAAGTAATTTCCATGGACTCGTGAAAAGTACAAATTAAAGACAGGACAAAGCAGACAAAGTACATTTGTGCCTTTGTGTTCTCCCTGAAAGACATTCTGCTCCTGTATACTTTCTCTCTCTCTTCCCCCCACCCCCTTTTTATCTCTCCTTTCCTTATTTCCTTCCTTCTTTATTTCCCTTCTAAACCTGCTATGAGAATAGTCTTTTCAAGCTTTTCAGGTTTTTTGTGGATGCAGTTATCCACGTGGGTGCCATTCTGTAATATGGTGGGGGCTGCTTGTTTGTTGGGGTTTTCTGTCCTGCCCAGTTCCCCCTCATGTTACAGGGTAGATCCATATGAGGGATTAACAGGCCATTTTAAGAACTTTTAAGTGATGGTGGGAATTGAAGCTATCTTAAATATTTGCTAAAAATGATAAGTGCTCCTTTTTTCTTAAGTCCACTATTCAAGCATTTTCTAAATCAGTGGTTCTTAACCCATGGGTCTCAATCCCTGGGGACTGAATATCAGATATCCTGTATATTAAATATTTACATCACAATTTATATCAGTAGCAAAATGATAGTTATGAAGTAGCAATGGAAATAGTACTATGGTTGGGGTCATCACAACATGCGGAACTGTATTAAAGGGTCACAGCATTAGGAAGGTGAGAACCACTGGTCTAAATGATTCAGCACTTTGCAATGCATTTTAAAAGACAGTCACGTAAGCCATGTTGTTCAACCTTCATAAAGATTTCTGTCTTCAGGATGATAAGATGGGGTATTCCCCTCTGAATGCTGTAAATATGTTTTATTACCATTGGTTAATAAAGAATCTGCTCTGGCCTATGGCAGGGCAGAATATAGCAAGGTGGGAAATTCAAGCAGAGATAGAGGAGGAAAGAAGGCAGAGTTGGAGGGATGTCATGTAGCCACCCAAGAAGCAAGATGTGAGGTAACAAACCACAAGCCTTGTGGCAAAATATAAAATAACATAAATGGGTTAGTTTAATATGTAAGAGTTAGTCAATAAGAAGACTGAGCAAACAGGTGAAGGAATATGTAATTAATGTTAAGCCTCAGAGTGGTTATTTTATAAGCAGCAGTGTGAACTAGTGAATGGAACCTGATAGGTGGAAGAAACCTGTGCAGGGGGACCAGGGAGAAGGAGAATGTTTGTAGCCACAATGATATGCATCTCAAGCACATTGTATATACACCTAAGACTAAGTCCCATTCCTGCTTCCAAGATGAGTTCATCCCCTCCTTTTTTAGTATATAAAATTTCATTTATTCTTTGAGAATCTCATATGCAAACACAACATATTTTGCTCATATACTCCACCAGCTCTCCCCTTCATCCCCTCCTAACTACGTGTGGTATTCTTATTGTGTCTGCTGTGATGACTGAATGATCCTTAGAAGAAATGATTCTTAAAATGAAGAATGCTGCCATTTCTGATATTCTGATATGAGGATGAGTCTTGATTTGAAATGACAACATTCACTCTTTTCATCTGATGGTCACAAGTCCTGCTAACTTAGAACTGGGGAAACACCACAGTAACCACAAGTTTGTTTTGAAATAGTCCCTTTATGCATTATAGATATTTAACAACATGTTTAAATGTTTTACATGGTAATTTAACTGTCAGAACAGACCCATAAAGGTATGACTGCTATTTCCTTTACGCAAGTGAGAAATCTGAAGGGCAGAGAGCAATGTAACTTGTTAAGGATTACCTGGAAATTTGTTTGTCCTTTCCAGGGGCAAGATAAAGACGAGCCTTTCTTCACTTTGTGTGGTCACTCTGGCGTCAGGGATGTGCTTTTTGACCAGTGACGTTACACTCTCTGGATCACATATTTCATTCAGATGCAAACTAATATTCAGCAAAAGTTATACAACGTTATTTTATTTAACACTACCTCTAAAAACAACTTCTAATGTTGCATATGTTTGTCACTTAATGAATATTCATAAGACAAAATTGTGTAATTTATAGAGAGGAACCAGATGCAATGATACTAATATAATCCAAACTTAATCTGTACAGCATAGCAAAGGAACTAGTAAAAGGGAAGGTGAGATTCATTTGAGATAATTCAAGGGCTTTCATTTGAAGGAAAGAGATAATGAAATCCTGGCTGGGGCAAAGTAAATGAGAATACCTATCAGGTCTCCACCTACTAAGAAAACCCAGCTATGAATTCTCCTTTTTCAGCTATTCATGAGCTCTGCAGACACTTAAAGCCAATTAAAGAAATATGGAGATAATCTGTAGTCATTAAGAATATGGTATTGACATTATATTATGCAGGTCCCAGAGGCCAGGTGAGCTGGCCGCTATCTCTGAATATGAGAATTCTTATTGATGAGATAAAATAATACTCAGTTCTTACATCAACCTTAAAAGGCAGAATGAAACAGCATTTATGAGATAGTGCTGGGTCTTTCATGAAGTAAACTCTCAATACATGCTAGATAGTTTTATCATTTTGTGTAAAATTTATTCAAGTAATAGCTGAAGTCTTTGGTAAGAGTCTACACAGTTCTTTATGAAATGTGGGGTTTTAGAAACACCATTGTAACTCATGTCCACTGAAATGTAGTGAGGTAACTAGGTGGTGCAAACATCACATGTCACTGATTACATAAATCTAAATTTAATGTCAAACCTGGTCTGTGCTTTGAAAGTGCTGTGCAGAGCATTATCAAGTATATCAAGCAGAAGAAATTCCACCCCTTTCCTAACATGGCTTGCAGCAGGCCAATAATTCAAAGCAAGAGGTTTTCAGGAAAAGTGAGGGAGAGGGAAACTGTGTTAACTCACTTAAGTACTTTGTGCTCTGTCAAGTGTTCATCCCATTACCATTAACCAAAAAAATTAGGTATTATTACTGTTGACTTACAAATGAAGTCACTAAGACCAAAGAAATTAATTAAGCAACAATTTGAATTAGTACTTCCTGGATTCTAGCACAGAGAATATTCATTAAGGAGAAAATGTTTGGAAGCAGTCTCTAAGAACAGATAAAGGAACTGGAGAGACAGCTCAGGAGTTAAGAGAACACACTGCTCTTACACAAGACATAGGCTTGGTTCTGAACACCTCCATCTGGTAACTCACAAGCACCTATAACTCTGGCTCCAGGTATCTGATGCTCTAATGTGGTCTGTGTGAACAACCATACACATATGCACATGCCCACACATGGACACACACATATACATGGGTAATGTTTATACATGGTTGAATGTGATGAAGAAGGAGGTAACAGATATCCTCCCTAAAACAGAAACATGACAAATACAAAGACCTGCACAGAGACTTGCCCAGACACCAGTGAGTATCGAGGGAAACTATTTCTTCTACTTGTAACAATGGATAATGCTGGTACTGTAGAAAGCTCTTAAATATTGGGAGGCATGGTAGAGAGTGGGCTTGGGGACAGGCAGGAGACAGGAGGAGGGGTGGGGAGAACTGTGGATGGAATGTAGAATGAACTTAAAAATTAAATTAAAATAAAAAAGAAATCAAAAAAGGAAACAGTGAAGTCTATTGAATCCCCAGGATGATGTGATTTTTATTGTTTTTTAAAGATTCATTTATAATAATGTGATTATCCAAAATGAAAGAGATACCAATGTTGCCTGTCTATGTGTTCAACATATATCTGTACCTTAGGTGATAGCCAATGCCCCATTTCTTCTTCAGGAACAGAGAAGACCCTGCACACCTCAGTTTCCCATTGGATATAAACACCTTCCTGTCTATTTGGAAAGAACCAAAAGATAAATTTTAACCAAGAATGACTTTTCTGTATTCCTAAATGTGAAAATCAAAATTCACGAACCAATAGTATTTTAGAAGCATGTTGCACTAGAATAGTGACATAATCGTTCTGTAACTTTCTAGGTACTCTGGTAACTGAAATGTTTACTTCTCCTCTGCATAGTTAGGAAAGTTATCAAGGATCTACATCTTTCAAGCCCGCTGACATCCATCCACATGGAATAAAGCATGCTTGAGATAGCACTGCATGTTTTACAACCTTCCCTTCTCTGTGATGGGTTAAGACTGCATTCATGGGACAAAGCCCTTCACCTGGAAGACAGAGATTCCAATGGGTGAAAAAAAATTCTCCTGTATTGGCTGTGGCCGTCACGAGTGAGATGTGTCTATGGGGGTTTGTCTGCAACCCATCTTTAAGTCCTTCTTTCTCACTATGAAACATGAAAAACAAAATCATAGTTACCAGCCAGGATATCAGCCTCATCCATGAACTGGGTACTAAAGACAATTACTCTGTCTAGTTTCCTCTCTTTCAGAAGGTTCCATATGCGATGCCTTGAAAGCGGGTCCAATCCAGCAGTTGGCTCATCCAGTAGCAAAACCTGGACAGTAGAAAATACCATAGAGTCATTTGTCCCTTTGGGGCAAGATTATTAAAAAAAAAACATTGAGGTGTCAAAGTATTGGCATTTGTGCTTAAAAGTTTTCTTAAATTTATCAAATTTATTGAATATAATAGATTCTGCATCTTCAATCTGATTTCATGAGTGGTTTTTGATCACCTTACCTGAGGATCTCCTAAAATGGCAATCCCAAAAGTCAGTTTCCTTTTTTGTCCACCACTTAAATTCTGAGCAAGAATGTCTTGAATATTTTCCATTTCTAAGTCCCGCAAAACTCGCTGTACCTAACAAAATAAAGAATATTTAGTCTAAAGTCTAAGATGTTTGTACTTATTTTTTGTTGAGACCAAGTCTCCCCTCTGTAACCCAGGCTGGCTTAAACTTCAGCAATACTCCTGCCTCAGCCTCCCAAATGCTGGGATGACAGGCATGAACCACCCTCACTCCCTGATTTTTAGAACAGTTTTCTGTCTTCAGAAAGATCCCGTGTGCCTAACTTTATATGATGAATGTGTACAGACAACACAAGCACATTTAATATTTTCTAGGTGATCAGTTTCACGTTCATTGTTGTGTAACAGTGGACATGTTAATTTACCTCTTGCTCTACTTCATGTGGCAGAATTCCCTTTATTTTAGCAAAAAGTCTGAGATTTTCTCTCACGGAGAGAAAACCAAATTGTATATTGGACTGTGGACACACTCCAGTGAGCTTGACGACAGCGTCAAAGTCATCCATTTCTGAAAGTGTCTGATTATAGATGGTGACGGAACCTACGCAGAGAAAATAAGGAGTTACCATCAGGGCAAGGTATAAACTATGTAAATCACAAGATTCGTTCAAGCATATTTTGTCTGTTTGCAACACAGAGAGGATAAAGTGTTTATTATGCCATGTGGAAACTGGGGTTTAGATCTTCAAAATCATGTAAAACTTGAGTGTGTGTGAGTGTGGCAGCATGGACCATAGACCTAGTGTGGGGAAAGATGGGCGAGGAAAGGAGGAGCCTTTGAACTCATTGAAGCCCCGAGCCTGGCCAAAACACGGAGCATAAGCTTAAGTGTAAAACCTTACTTCAAAGAATAAGCTGAAGGCAATAGGAAGAGACTTCAAACTTTCAGCATGGATGGGAGAGGGGTTCCCAATGCCCCACCTCAAGCTGAAGAGCTAATGACTTCTGAGAGAGGCAGTTACTTTGTGTGTGAAGGTGGGCTGCCTGTGCCCCAGAGGAGGACCACACACACATGCGTATATGGACAGTACTGCTCTGCTTGGATTTATAATTATTTTAAAGACATGAAGCATGAAGTTGGGATGGGACTGGAAGGTGCTGAAGAGCGGGAGTGAGGAATGGATATGACCCAGATACACTGTACACACATATGAAACTTTAAAAAGAATTTTTAAACTAAGAAAATCATTTAAAACAAAGAGGTGAAGAAGTGGTTGAGAAAGGTGTTGCATCATCAGCTTCCACATGTGCTCATCCAAGCAAGCTCACCCCCACATATCCATATACTACCCACACAGAGAGAGATTCAATGCTCAGAATGGCATTTAATCTAGCAGAAATACCAATTAATAATTGAATAGTTATCATCACTTGTATAGAACACAAATAGTTTCACAAATCTGTACAATTATGTAGCAATAAAGAAACTCCAAAAATTTTTCTTAGCTTCTAAAATGACATATGAAAACATAGCATAGTATCTGCTAATGGGGAAATATGCAATTCAACACGTGCATCCACTGTGCAACATTTAAGAGAAATTCCCAATGTTTTTGACTTAGTAGCATGGTGCAGCAAGTTAACTAGTGAAAAGCACAATTTATCCGTTTGTCCTCGGGCTTGTCTTTGACAAGTGACCTCTTACCTGCAGTTGGGGGCGACAGTCCACAGAGTGTATTTATCAATGTGGTTTTCCCAGCTCCACTGTGGCCAAGAATAGCAGTGATCTGGCCTTCATATATGTCAAATCCCAGACCTGGCGTGATGTCAAAGAGATTACATTCAGTACATGTGTAGCCACGGTACAGGAGCCACAGTTCATGATGTCTCACTGCATAGATGAGTGTGGGTCCTAATCTTCAAAGTCAAATCAACCTTAAAACTGGTCCAGCTGTCTGTAATAGCTCATCTTCTTCCCTACTGAAGTTTTACAAGTCTCTAACTCAAACAGCTATATTAAATATAATCTCACTTATTACCTCTTAGAGCTTCTACTTTTCCATGCTTTCCTGTATATTCCTTCTTAAGATTTTTGATCCTGAAAAAAATAATAAAAAAAACTGTTTTGGGGAAAATTGCAGAGATTGGGGGAGACTTGATAAAACCTGGAGGTTCTTGATTTTACACAGGCACAGTCAGAAGCATCCTGGGCATCCCATGAGAGGCAGCATCTCTGACAGTTGTACCTCAACAGAACATAAGAGGAGGAGGGAGGAGCTAGCATGTGAATACACACAGCTCTGCATACAGATCGAGGCAGATGCCTGGAGAAGAAAGCTGGAGACGAGGTCAGTAGGAGGAGCTCCAGTGATGTGGGTGAAAGGACTCACGTCAGAGCAAAATGTCTTGAGCTCTGGAGTAAAACCCTCTGAGTGAACTCCCGCCTGTGTCATTGACGCAGAGCTCTGGTACAAAGACAGAACTCAGAGTCCAAGTCTTGAGCAATAAAGCAAGGATGACAATACTAGCTATCATATAAGGTTGATGCCTACAGAAAACAAGAGCTGCAGAGCTCAAGATGTTTGAAGTTTCAAAAGAGGAGGAAAGGAGAAGAAAATGATGAGGTTTTAAGAGTCTGTAGAATTGAAGGGTGGTGACACTCTTGGGACCAAGGATAGAAGTTTAGGAGTCTGAAGCCACCCTGGAATACACTGTGAGTTCCAGGCCAGATTGGTTTACAAAGTAAGATCCTGTCTTAAAGAAAGAAAGAAAAGCATACAGAAACTTTCTGAGTTGAAGGTCTATTATGCTCCAGATCCTGTGCAGACTACAGGCATTAGTCTCTTATAATATCAAAGCAAAGCATCAGGCGGGCTACAGACAAAATTCAAGAAGATAAGGGTGATTGGAATGTGTAGCCGTTGGGAAGTCAGTGCTGACCACAGTTCATTCGTGGCTTCTGGGGGAGGGGATGTAGGGCATTAGTGCCCTATGGTCTGATCATCTCTTCTCATCTATCTGGAATGTCTCTACCTCCCTTTATGCATCACTTATATTTTGTTTTCATCCTATCTGCCAAGAAGGCCTGAAAAGAGACAAAGAAGATTATAGAGAAAGAAGATGATAATACCCTGTTTATCACCAAGAGAACATGAGAACAAAATATGAAGACTAGACAAGGAAGACGATGAGAATGGGGAGGAAGTATTTATTTGTCGACCAAAAGATATTAGTAAGTGTAAATGACAGAAACGGGGTGAAATACAGTGCTATCTACAATGAGAACATCCTTTTGTAGGAACAGTAGACTCGGAGAATGTGGGTCCAGAGGGGCTCAGAAGGAGATCTTTGTACATCAGTGTCTTGCCCTGGTAGGTCTCTCTTCTGGGGCCTGTTCTCCATGGCACTTCCCTGTGATTTATTTGTTACCTGATGGCTTCTTTCCCCTGGAATTCTGGAGGCACTGGTTCAAACGAGTCATTCAGTGGAGGATCCGAGTCTATTTCATTCTCAAGGACCATGTGATTAGCTCTTCTGTGTTGAAACCAGTAAGATGACTTCAGGAAAAATAATGGAGATTGTCGATGTCCATACTTACCTATATGGACAGGTAAGTATTGGGTCAGTCACCACTCTGAGGGCTGCATTCCATTCAGCACAGAATGGCAAACCAACCTCTATGGCTCTTACCCTGAGCCCACATTGGAATATGAAGAAAAATGCAGCATTATAAACTAAAAGAAAAAGTCTTTAGGCCAGAGTGACTTGTTTCAAGAGGAACTTAAGTATTCTAGTAAGATGAAAATGAATGGATAAATGTGGTACACATAAACATGAAATATTACTAAACTCTAAGAGAAAATAAATTTGCAAGTAAACAGATGGAACTGGAAAAAATGAAACTGAGTGTGGTAACTCAGCTCCAGAAAGACAAATGCCCTATGTGCTTTCTCGTATGCAGAGCCTTGCTTCAAATAGTTTCTTTTGTGAGTTTAACTTGGAGCAAAATGGAAGACAGGAAACTAGAGAGGGGGAGGGTTCGGGGAAATATTAAAGGGGGGGGCAGAGTAGATTGAGGTAAAACGAGAGAAGGGGACTGGAATACCAGGGTGGAAGGTCACTGGGAGTACGGGAGGCATGAGGGAGAGAAATGGGGCTATCCCAAAAGAAGAGGATGAGAAAAGTCACATAGACGTCTGTTATCTCACAACCCAACTTAAAACAGTATCAGTATAAGGATGGTAGAACACATGCTAAATGAAAGAGGGGGATTCTGAGGGCTACGGGATTGAAGGTTGAAAGGGATGGGCAAATGGGAAGAGAAGGGAGTAATGAATGAGCTTACCAAAACTAAGAATTTATAAAAGGGCCTTATAGAAATCCACTAGCTAGTAAGCTAATTTCAGAAGTTCAAATGAAATTACCATACATGCATGGAAATGTCATTTTAGAAGACATGGGTAATTATTAAATAAAAATTGGAATACAAGGCATAAGGCACCTTCCTATGAGTTATTGATCAGAGAATCCCCAGAGATTTCCACAAAACAAAGGCATTGATATTTTTTTAGATACCCACCTTAACTCTAGTAAGATCCTATTGCCTAAGATATCACACACTTTAGCAAAAGGACATGGAGAAATTAATGCCCAGTTACTCAGTAAGCTTCTGACAAGTTTTCATACTGCCAAAAGATGCAGGGTTCAGCCTGGACCATGTGTGTTACAACACTATCAAGGAAGATGTATCTACTGCAATAGTGATCCAGCGATAGCAGGTAAATAACTGCTTTATGATTAGATTTAAGGTTTGCTCGGTAGGAGTAAATTACTTGTCTGATACTATAATCCTGGTCAAAAACCCATAACTTGGAGATCATGGGCCCTAGGGAAGATCTTGGTATTGTTATTTTGCTAAATGACCATGTTGTTCAATTGTCTTCTCCATATCCGGCTGCAAGTTCCATTTTTTTAAATAAGAATTTTCACCCCTGTGCTTGTCTAATATCTGCTCTGAACAATTTGAGCCCCTGTTACTGTTTTAAAATGCGTGCATGTTAAAATAAATCTCCAACTGGAGGACAAAATAAAACTCAAAAAGCTTGGTGTGAAAAAAAAAAAGTCTTCTAAATACTTACGCCTATACCCATTTTCTTAGTTAGGGTCTGAATTGCTGTGATACCATGACAAAAGTAACTTGGGGATGGATGAAAGAGTTTATTTCACTTTAGAACGCATTTCACTTTATCACTGAGGGAAGTCGGGGCAAGAACTGAAGCAAGGCAGAAACTTGGAGATGGCAACTGAAACAAGAGCCATGGAAGAGTGGCGCTCACTGGCGTGATTCCCATGGCATCCTCGGTCTGTTTTATTATATAACCCAAGAACGTCAGCCCAAGGGTAATATAGCCCTCAGTATATCAAGCTGACATAAAACTCGCCAGCACACCCGTAGACCTGAGCTTCTCTCAGTCTTCATCAGAAGAAAAGCTTCTTTTTACAGTGGACAGCAGTCAATGACTGACCGGTCACAGTGCTAAGAGCGAGGGGATGAATGTTCAGCCCTACATGGGACATCTATATTAAGACCGCCATCACCAAGGCTCAGGGAACACAGGGGAGGAAGAGGTGTAAAGACTGTAAGTGTGGAAGGGGTGGAAGGGTAGGGAGGGGTCTATGAGATGCTGTCTTCTAGACATGATGTGGCTATTGCAATCAGGAGCTAAGAGCAGCTGTGATTACCTGCATCAGACCTACACAATATCAAGCTAGTAACAATGTCTGCACAGGGGGGCTAGAGGAGCTCCAGGCCCCATCCCCAGCTGAAGAGATAATGTTAACGCATAGATGCTGGGAAAAGGAGGATCATCTTTTATGGAGATATGGTCACTGATTCATTTTCCATACTCCAATGGATAGCCACTCCCATGCACATATGGAATTATTGGATTATTTTAAAAAGATAAAGGAGAGAAAGCATGTTCAAGGGACATGGGGTAACTTGGAAGGGGGGCAGAGGGTGGACATGATCCTGTTTCATTGCATACATTATGAAATTCTCAAATGTTATCTGTAATTTCAGAAAATTAGAAAAGAAAATGCTATACCAGTTATAGTCAATATATTGTAGAAGAGTAGTTCTAAACCTGGGGGTCACAACACCTTTGGGAATCAAATGACCCTCTCACAGGGGTCAATTAAGACCAGCAAAAATTTCAGATATTTACTTTATGATTAACAATGACAGCAAAGTTATAGTTCTGAAGTAACAATGAGAATAATATTATGGTTGGAGGTCACCACAACATGAGGACCTGTATTAAAGAGTCTCAGTATTAGGAGAGTTGAGAACCACTCTCATAGACAGTTACTTTTAGTAAATGCAAGCAATAGAAATGTATAAAATTACAATAATTTTACTACTTACTGAGTAAAATTTTGTCAAAATACAATGCCAGTATCAAATAGAGAAAGGCATCCAAAATCAGCATAAAGAGGTTGGCTATGATTAGGTACGAATTGTTTGGAAAGTCCAAATTAACAGAATTCACGTCGTAGTCCAAATGAATGAGCTGAAAAAGAGATACATCAAATTTTTAAAGGATTAATAAAATTTTAAAGATATTTATTGTCTTAATTTGCTAGATATCAAGGGAAAGATCAATGAGACACACCTTATGTCTCTATATAGCTCAGGTCTATTGCCATTCGTAGCAGCCACCATCTAACTACAAATTGGAGATGATGATAAAATCTGCTCAGAGGAGATGAAAGGACCAGGAAGGTGGTATTTGAGACATATCTAATGCAAACATTCATCAGGATTAAAAGGTATAAAGAGGGGGAAGGTGTTCTTGAGTGGGGAACTCCATAGTGTAAAAATGGAGAAATGAAAGTTTATTAGTAGTTGGGCAGAGAAAAGATGAATTTCAAAACCATACTATGATTTCAAGAAAATTAACTTTTGGGGAGGAGATTTAATTTCATGTGGAAATGTCCAATGAGTTTTAATTTTCAAATATTTGTGATACTGTTAAGGCTCATGTTTCTCAAGCTTAAATCAGACAAATATTAGGTTAGAAGTCTAAGCTGAGCCACATCAACCATCAAATGTCATTCTACATTTAGAGCTATAAACTAACGATTATTTCAGTACCAATCATGAGAAACCCCTTTCAAGTTGCTATTTATGGGAGTCCAATAGACTCCCCGAACAACACAGGCTATTGCCGCTGTCTGTCAGGGGTTGGAGGTAAGTCCTTATTGCTAAAGGCACCATGCACTTCATACACAAGACTCGGAGGATTTGACCCAGCTCTGACTGGAAAGCCTCCTCCCCAAGACTAGTTCTCATTGTATTGGATGGCAGTATGCAAGCTGCCAAGGGAAAGAAGCAGCGAAGAGTCATACCCAGCTATGATGCCTACTAATCACACCAATGGCCAGTCTGGTAACTAAAGTTGCAATCATGGTACCCATATCTTGATGTTAGCCAACAGCTCTGCAATTGGACTGAAGCCTTACTCAACAAGAGGGAATTTGTGCCTAGTACAGGAAACCCAGCCAGCTACCCAGGGCTGGTGAGGTCATTGACCTTAGAGGAAAACCTACTGCTGTCACTTTACTGAATCAACACAGATGCTAACTGCATTTTAAATATCTATCCTTGTACCCACAGTTCAGGGCAGCTCTCGCTTCTCATCAAAGGAGCTTTTCTTTGCAACAGATGGAGAGCATTATAGAAAACTACGACTGGTCAAAATGTGGAGAAGAACAGGATTGTAGGGCTCTTTGCTGAAATGGATACGCTTACAACACAATTGGAACCTAAGTCTCAGGGGACAGAAGAGAGACATGGAAGATTTTAAGAACCAGAAGAATAGAAAAATTGCTGTGAGGTGTATCTACTATAAATAACAGAGAAACTGCACTCAATATACTTCAACAATATGCCTAAACATGACCTGAAAGAGGGCAACACCAATAGATATACTAATGTGAAAGAGGGGATTCTCACAGGGCAGCTAAGGATGAGGACAGATGAAGAGTGAGTTATCCCAAAGGATGAGCCCCTTAATTAGTTATCTAATATCAAGTAGTCAACCCTGAAATCACATACATGTAAGTAACACTAAAATGATTCAGTTTTTCTTTGTAGGTCTATGCATTTGTGTCTGTGTGCATGTGGTGTATGTGTGTGTGTGTGTGTATGTGTATGTGTGTGTGTGTATGCGTGTGTGTGTGTGTGTGTGTGTGTGTGTGTGTGTGTGTGTGTAAAACAAGGATAAAGAAAAGAGACCACAAATTTTAAGGGGAGCAATGCAGATGGAGAGGAGGGGCATGAAACGGGGTGGGTGGAGGAAAGGGAAAGGGGAAAATAATGTGATTATATTGTTAAAAATTACAAAAAAAATTAAAAAATATGAGAGAGAAAACTAAAAATGTCTCCTATCCCTTAAACTTCAATCTCTATAAAGATGGGGAGAATACTTTAGTGTTTGGTGTATATTGCATAACTCACAGAAGGAATGTGTCTAGAATATTGTGTACATAAATAATATGTGGGACAGTAAGGACAGTTCAGCTGGTAAAAGTGCCTGAGTTTGGTTCCCACAACCCATGTGGTGGAAGGAGAGAACTGACATCTGTCACACTGTCCTCTGACCTCCGATGTCACAGCATGCCTGTGCATGGGCACATGCACACATAGAAACAGATAAAAACAAATGTTCTTCATTCTTACCTGGGCCATTCCGGCAGTAAAGGCAAAGGGGCTAAGCAAACACAAGGTCCATTCCATAAAGGCGGGAAGGTGTTTGTACAGCGCTGTGAATCCCAGACTTCCCCAAAAGATGGTGAGGAGGAAGACGACCAAACCAGTGAGAAAAGGTTTCTTTAACAACGCACTCATGAGGAAAGCTAAAGTTATCTGAGAAGAGAAACAAAAGTGAACTGGTGTGGTGGTCTGAGGGCCATCGCTAGCACACTCAAAGGAATTTCCTATTTGGATAAGGGTTGTCCAAAGGCACTCATGTTAAAGCCTCCAGTCAGAGGCACAATCGAGAGGTAGTAGAATCTTTAAGAAGTGGGGTATGTGGGCAGTTCTCCTGTCACTGGATGCTTATCTTTAAAGAGGTTATGAAAACCCCCATCTCTTCTTCTTTTTGACATACTGTCTGTCACGTGAGCAACTTTGATCTACCATGAACATGGTAATGCTGGCCAGAGACAGGCCAAAGTAACCGGGTTAACCAATCCTGGACAAAGAGCTCCAAAATTATAGAGAAAAATAACCCAAACTCTTCTTGTTAGCTGAATGTCTCCGGCATTTGTTATAGGGACTGAGAGCTGACCAGCACTGTATTTGGGAAGTATATCTCATCAATTTTCAATTGGATTCTATATGGAAAGTGCCTTGTGCAAATACTGCACAGAACAGAAAAGATAAGAAACAATCAGTGGTGCGTGATTGAAGGGAGAGAAGGAGAAAGTGGGGTCGGGGAGAGAATTCACCAACTTACCAAAGACAGCCCATAAAGGAGAAAAAGAAGGAACACCACCATGAAACCAGTTAAGACGACAATTTGGGCAGATTTCACAATAAGAGACATCAAAGTAGCCACGACAAGGATAAAGCCAGCATACATCAAACCCCAGGAAAGCCTGGCCAAGAAACACAGGATTAGTGCAAATGGTACGACTTGGTCACAATCCTCACTCACTAAGTTTAAACGTGTGTGATTTATCAAGAGTTTCTTCCAAAAGGGTAATTCCTAACAATTCATAAAACATCCTCATCTAAAAGTTCATATTCTATAAAGTAAATAATAAACAAGTAAATGTATACAGCAAATCGTTGCCCTAGTAAACATTGTCAGTTTGGTAGAACCTAGAGTCATCTGGCAAGGGAGAAGTCTCAGCTGCAGAATTGCCTAGACCAGCTTGGTCTGAGGGCATGTCTGTGAAGCATGGGCTCACTGAATGATGCAGAAGGGCCCAGTCCTCTGTGGGTGGCAACATTCCTCAGGCTCTGGTCCTGTATAAGAAAGTCAGCTAAGCAGAAATCAGAGAGCAAGCCCGCAAGGTAGCATTCTTCCACGGTTCCTGCCTCTGAGTTCTTACTGTGCCTTCCCTCAGTGATGGTCTCTGACCAGAGAAGTATAATCCAAGTAAATCCTTTCCTCCTTCGGGTAGCTTTTGGCTTATCACAGCAACAGAATGAAAGTAAAACAGCAGCTGGGTGCAAACAGAAGGACATGAACTGGACAGTAAGATACTCATCATTCTCAAGTATGAGGATTCTAGGGAGGGTTTAAGGAAGAATCTGCACTGCCTTGTCAGTTCTGTTTGCCTTCTTTCATAAGGAAGTCAGGGACACAATGCGGGCATTAGAGACACACTGCCCACATTTTAGGCTTTGCAAGCCAAGTAGCCTTTATTGCCATCATTGCTGCCTTCACAGACCAAGAACAATTACACGCAGTCTCTGCCCAATATGCTGCTATATCCCAACAAGAATATATTTATAGACATTTGGGTTTCCAATAGATTTTTATGTCCCCTAAAAAGTGACCACTGTTCTTTTTTCTTTCCTTACCAGACAAGCCACTTCTACCTCACAACTTGCGTAAAAGTACTTGGTCAGCTGCTGATATAGATGATCCGGTGCAAAAACACACAGAGCATCTCTATGGAGAATACAGCCGGGTAGGTGGATATGAAGAGGCATATTTAGTTTTGATGCCAAGGACAGAGGAGGCCCAAGGACATAGAGTCCAGTAATGTCACAGATTTGGCATCAAATTTTCTCTATTACATTACAACTTAATATGTTAAGAAGCAATTGTTTAGTTTCCTTACGTTTCAATTTCCTCTCTAGGGAAAGATTGAGAATTAAATTAGTCGGGTATTTTGTGGTTATCACATGGTGATAGGCCCACAATGCACAGCTAGTTTCCTTTTATTTATAGTAGACAGTCCCATCAAGTTCTGGAAGCATTGTTTCTCCTGACCAATTTTAACAATGCCCTTTTCTCAGTATGCTACAATTACCTGAAACTATTCATCCACCTGCCTTCTATAGACGTCTTAATTTCTCTCCATTTAATTTGATGCTCACTGTCGGCTTGCTGTATATTGCTTTCATTATATTTAGGTATGTTCCTTGTATCCCTGATCTCTCCAAGACCTTTATCATGAAGGGGTGTTGGATTTTGTCAAATGCTTTTTCAGCATCTAATGAAATTATTATATGTTTTTTTCCCTTCAGTTTATATGATGGATTACATTCTTAATTTCATTCAAATAAAATATAAATCTTTCCTTCAAGAAGGAAGAAAAGCCCTAATATTTTTAAATTTCTCCTCACTAGGTTTTTTAAAAATATATTATCTTCCACTGGCTCTTCATAAATTTCAACACCTTTTAAACTACGGTGAACAAATTCTCTTCAATATCACGGGCATAATTTTAGTATACAAAGGGACAAAAAATGCATTGTATCAAACCTGCCAACCCTTTTTGAAAGATATGTTTTATTTTGCATTACTTATATGTACATCTCTGTAGGTGGGTGTGGGGGGAGAGAATGTGCATATGTGTGTTTGCCTATGGAGACCAGAAACATCAGCTGCAAGCTCCCCTGGACCTGTAGTTACAGACAGTTGCAAGCTCCTCTGGACCTGTAGTTACAGAGAGTTGTAAGGTCCCCTGACTTGTAGTTACAGGCAGTTGTGGGGTCCCCTGACCTGCAGTTACAGACAGTT